GAAATTTGATTATGATCTAGTTTTGAGAGACGTTTCTTCAAAAGAAAGTTTTGGAAAACACGACTTATTCCGATTTTTGACGTTTTAATGACGTTTTAAAACGTCACCCGTCCCCAAAGGGTTAAAGTGGTACTTGTATATCCACTTAATAAAATTCTCAAAAAACGATATTTTTTTCTACTATAATGGATTAAATCAAAAGAATTACTATAATACCACCTATTCTCATGACGTTATCATTGTAGAAACAGAAAATAATAATCAGTATATTAGTACACAAAATTCCTCTCAATCTTCTTTTTCCTGTTCTGTTCTTAAAACCTATTTTCTTGTTTGTTAAGGTAGTACTGTCGTCTGAAGAAGAAAAAACAAATGAATATATTTTTTTTTTCCAGTAGATACGCCAAGTGTCAGAATCAGGTTGGATACTATCATCATAAAAAGAAAAATGAATGTAATTGCAGATGTACTCGGAATTTTTTCTTGAATAGAATAATACGTGAAACAAAAAAGATGGTGAAACTGATAAGCCAGAAAAGAATCAAAAAGAAGAGCAAGAATTTCCTTATTATTGTGTTCTACTAGTACGGCTGATTCACGTCACAGAATAAGATTAAAAATAAGGAATAGGCTAGAGAGAACAAAAAAAAGAAAAGAAAAGAGAAAGAGAGAGAGAGTGAAAAGCGTTACAATATAAAATACTATTATCTTCGACCTAAGTCAGTGTATTTTATACAAAATAGTTTTATTAACAGTACTAAATATTATACTCCTAGAGCTATTAGATAGATAAACAAAGAAAAAGAAAAGAAAATTCAAATAATTCTACGTTCATCTGTTTAGTACTAACATCTAACTTAGTACCTCTATCAACATCATGTTATACACTATAAATAAGATTTTTTTTTCTTGTTTAAATATTTTTTAAATTCATCTATTCGCTATTGTTTTCTTTTTGGTTGAACATCTGACTTCCATATGACTTAAGAGTATCAAATCAGTGTCTATCTTCTATTTTTGTTTTCTTCTTTTTCTAAATTTGTTTATTTTAAAACAATATAGTCTAAAAAAATTCACAAAGATCTCTATAGAAAGCTTATCTTTAATACTACTCATTCAAAAATCTTTTTTTGGTAACTTAAATAAAATCTAAACCTCATGATCAATAATGATAAATAAAATCTGGATAACTCTTTCCAGCCGGATGTTATCATATGGTAACATTTTTTGTTGAGTTTTAAAAACTGTCGACTGGACAGGATTAACTGAACTCATCTTTTTTATATTCGTGGACACATAGACTGATTGATATTGGTTTAATAATAAATATATATGCCTAAGAACTAAAGATAAAATGCTGTGTAATATTAGACTAAAAAATCTATATGCACAAAAGAAATAGGAAAAATAAAAAAAATGTAAACAAAGAATATTTTTTTGTTGGCTACTCAACTGTTTGTGTTACGCTCTTTTTCCCATGTATTTTAAAGTTTTCTGTTCTGTTCTCTCTCTCTTTCTCCATACAACGGTTTATTATTCAGTCAATTTCCGTATAAAGCGTGCAACTCAACTGTTGTACTTGTTTGCTGAAGCTGAAAAAAGTGATTATAGTTTCTATTTATTTCCTGTCAATGAACTCATGTAGATGTTAATTGGTAACCTTCGGGAACGATAAATTTAATATTAACAAAAAAAAGAAGATGTCTGATATATTATTTTAACAAATTTCGTAAACGTTCAATCATTTTACTTGACATTGAAACAAATATCCTGAGTTGACAACGAATACAATTAAGTTATACAACTGTCTTTTCAAAGATAACATCTCTGTGAATTACATATTTGAAAAAATATGAAAAAAATCCTCGAATCATGAGAAAAATCTCTTCCATTGATTATTTTTCGGATACGAAATACATAAGCAAAGATCAATCAGAGTTACATGATACAAAACCTGGTTAAATTGTATTGTCTATTACAAAGAATTTTTGATATTATTTTCTTTTTTTGTTTGTACTGCTCAGATATATAAACACATAGAAAGAAGTCACAATTAGAAAAAAGAATGGAAATTTTTGAGATGATGTGGAACTGTTAAAAAGACAGACAAGAGTAAAGAAAATTCCGTTCTGGAGTTTCCAGAAAAAGAAAAACTGGATGAACAAAAATAAAGAAAAAGAAAAATGTATTCATATACAGAAAATGTGCAATGAAAAACGTTTTTATATCTTATAGAGAAACAGAGAAAAGAATGTATGTTATAAGAAACCAGTTACAGTGTACAATACGAAAAAATGATCTATTCAATAATTATTATTCTAACTATGGTAGAACTTCTCTAAAGTAATTAACTTTTGAACAAAGTAAAAAATAGTCAATTTATTGGAATGTTAACCATATTTTTCTCTTAAAATAACGAGGATTTTTTAACTGAATTTTGACTAAAAAATATATCTTGCTAATAATTATGATCAGAACACTAAACATTTTGATCTAAAATTTATCTGTGTAGTGAGAATTTCAAAAATTTTTTAACACAATGAGTTCATTCCGCATAACGGTCAACTAAATGTCTGTCCGTTACCGTTTTTGTCGTTTTGTTCCATTTATAGAATTTAAATAAAAGATTGTGAAAAGTTGGATCTTATTTTGTAGGTGAAAATGTGCTCGTCAAAATCCATACGATACTCAATGGAAAATATTGAACTATCTTTCTGATACAATCAAATTTCTAATTTCACTGGAAATTGGGTTAGGGTTGTTAGAAAAATCATTATAGCAGAAAACCAATCATATACATTGAAATAAGTCTCAGTTGAAAGAGCACACAAAATGAGACATCTCTCAACTCTCCACGGCCTTTCATTCAAATATTATAAGATCAACAAAAGCAGCAAAAAGTAACGCACAGACACGTTCAGCAAACAGTTGTCTAATCATTGTTTTTGAATGCTGATTTTACAGTATGTGTGTTTCGCTCTCATGTGTTGTGCTTTAATAATTCGAAAGTATCAGTTTTTGTTTTAAGTTTATTAAAATGTATACACGCAACAAAAACGATTTAAAAAGATGAGCAAATCAAACTAAAGAGTATATTGGAATAGTGATAAAAAGATTTTAGATTCCAATAAAATATAATTAATTTTTAAAATTAGAAATAAAGCATTTTCAAAATATTATCAGATCGTTCTCGGTTCGAAATCATATTCTGTCGTTTTCGTTTTTCTTTTTACAAAAAACGTTTTCCATCGTTTACTATTCTTTTAGAAACAATAATATTTTCATAGTAATAATTATGTAGAAATAATTCTGAAAAAGTTACTCATAATTGTGTGTAATAACACTAGCAACTATGACAATATAATATGATATTAATTAAAAAACATAAATTCTTTCTTTCTACTATAGCTTACCTTACCTTAGACGTTCTTTTTCTTCATTATCTCGACGATGAGCTTCAAGATATGGTCGAAACATTGAACATTGTTGTGATAATAATTTTATAAATTCATTCATTGCCATATCTGTTGACATATTTCCAAGTTCAATCCATGCTTGTCTGGAACAGAAAAGCATTTTCAACAAGCCGATTCTAATTTACTTGATCATAACACACCTTCGATCATTTCCTATCACATCTAAAAATCCAATTTGTTCTCCCGATTGTGGTTGATATTGTCCAAAAGCTACTTGTTTTGATAAAGCAACCAAACGTTGTTTGTCTTTATATCCTAAGTGAAGTGCTTTTGTACCTTCTTTCTCTAAAATAAATCAATATAAAAATGAGAGTATAGTATATAATCACATGAAATATCAAGTAAAAAAGTAAATACCCAAAATTATGCGTAGTCTCTTATACGAAACTATAGTAAATATCGTATTATTCATAGTTTATTCGAAAACATTTACCTTTTAAAAATTGCCTAGCCAAAGTGTATAAATCTGTTGTCGAGAAACCTAAATCATCTAAGACAGTATATTTCCCATTGGTAATACTATTGTTTTCCATCGTTTGTTCATATTTTTTATCCACCAATGATGAATCCGCATCATTTGTCATTTTTGTCGATGAAGCTCCAGCTTGAGCAGTGTTTCTGATCGATGTTGGTGTTGTTACATTTATCTGACCAAAACAATTTCCAGCTAAAATCTCGTCGTAATAAATGCTCATTTGCTCATTCGAAAAATATCTGAATGATAAAGCGATGAGATTTAAAGTCAATAATTATTTTTCGGGATTTTCGAGAGAGTATAAAAATTTGTCATGATTGTACAAAACCTTTTAGAACAACAGAATATAGCAAAGTTTGATCTTCATATCTCATATCTGCTTCAAAGTTGCGGTGTGAAAAATTGTCAATCTTCCTCTCTTAGTAACTGTGATCTTTGCGTTGATATGGAAGACGTACAATAGAGAAAAAAGTTGACTGCTAGCGTAGTCAAAACAAAATACTCATACATACACACGTGTAGTTATGCGTTTCTGTCCTGTTTTCATGTGTATATTCTCTTCCTCTCATCACTCTGTTTCTATAAACCGATCGCAAGAAAGTTGAACTATAAAAACACCTATAGATGCTGAAAGTATACTAGGTGAAGATAGTGATCGGTTATCTAAAACAATCCAAGAAAAGAACATGGTCAGCATTACTGTTGCCCATTCTATAGTCGAAACAAGTCAGCAACAAATAAAACTCGTAGCAGCAGAATTAGATAATAAAATGAGCTACAACTCAAACCACCTAGCGTCGATGCCTGTTGACCAGACGCACCTACAGACACTATCTCAATATATGACTGAAGATGTACAATCTACGATAACATATCATCTTCCAGCTGTCCATATTCAAATTGAACAAAATTCGTCATTATCACAGAAAGAATCGATTTATTCTTTACTAAGAATATTCTAAATCTTCGTTTACGTTCGATCAAATTCTATGCGTCAAAAAATCATACTCATTAATGCCGTATTCATTAGATGATTTAGCAACAATGAAATCATTTAAATGGTCAGATCATAACTCTTTAATTAAAATCAACCTACCAAAAGTCGGTCCAATATGCTATAGTGCAATTATTTATTCAGTCAGGATGAATGAAGACACAAACAACATTTTAGATGAGATTAAAAACAAATAGCCGTCGAATCTGTTGGGAATTAAATAATTGAGAACCAGTAAAGAATTTATTGTGTGTACAGTGGATTTTGTCAATAGAAAATATAAAGAAACATTTATTAAAAATAGGGAGTTTCTTCATAATCACATTGTTCATGTTGTCGTTGACTATCGAAAATCAGTATTAGCTAGTAGATGTTTTAAATGCTAAGAATATGATCATTATCAAAGCTCATGTAAATGAAATGAATTATGTTCAAAATATGGTCACTCCCATAACAGTATAACTCTATTGGGTTATACTGCACATTGTTCCCATAGGAACAATGTGCAGTATAACCCAACTCCCTACTGTCCGAATTGCTCTTTTAATCATTCTTCAAATAGAAATAACTGTCAACAAAAATTAGACTACATTAAATTAATTAGAGAAAAATTTAAAAACAATTCAATTGAAACATCAACAACATTAATAAATCTTCAACAGCGATCGTATGCAAAGGTAACAATGTCAGCAGTCAATGAAAATAATGCTCGAGTATATATTGAGAAAGCCGTTGAAGTCGTTCAAACGAAATTTGTATATAATGTAAATGCAACATTAAAATCGGTTGCAAACACTTTAAAATCTATCCAAGATGATATGAAGTGAGTAAATGGAATAAGTGTTCAGTTATGTTCCAAACAACAAATATTAGAGAAAGAAATCACTAAAATAAATAAACGTATATCCAATTTACAAACACATTCATCCTCAATTCTTCAAACGATAATTAATGGTGTTTTTCCTCCGAACTCAACATTACACGCCCAGCTCCAGTCAAACACTGATAAAGCGTGTGTAGTTATATTTAAATCTATCTCGACAATAAAAAAACAAGTATTTCCAGATTGTAGTCAACAACAGCTCGAAAAAAATCATCCTTAACAAGAACAACAACATTGACTAATAACAATGGCAATTACACTTTTAGTTCTGAGAATGCTCTACCATTGATAAATAGTAGTAATAATGCCCAACAATCAACGTTTAGACCATCATCATTAACAACTAGTCATTGAAACCCTAGTTCAGGCTGAATTTGATCGTGTGTCCCTCTGATGCGAAAAAAATCAAATGACTTTAAATGACGATAAATGCTCATACATTTATTTTACTCTAGACCCAAAAATGGACCCTCATCTTTCACTTTCTCTTGGCAGCCATCCTCTTTCTCTTTAGAATGACCCTAAACTACTAGGTTTACGTCTTTCGCACGATCTAAAGTGGTCTACCCACATTAGTGAGCTTGCTTTGCTTTGCAGGCGTATGCTAGGAGCTTTAAATCGAGTATTCCGAGACGCATCACAAGCCATTCGTTTGACTCTTTACAAGACTTGTGTTCTACCCAAAATTGACTATTACTCGGCAGTTTACGACTCGAACTTTTCCACACATCTTGCTTCACCAGATTCTCTTCAGACGGTTGCGGCGCACATTACCAGAAACTTTGACCCTCAAACAGAGAGTAGTACTCTCGCTACCCAGCTACGACTGCCTGATCTTACAGTGCGTAGGCGCTATTTTCGCCTTGTCTCTTTTTACAAATTATATAACAACCTCTCTCCCCTTAATCGTCAGGAGTATATAACTACAGTTAGAAACACGAGGTTCCTTCGCCGTAGCACGAATTAAGCGGTAGTGCTGCCTTTTACCATCTATGAGACAGTGCAGTCCTCTTTTTTCTGGAGAACCCCTAAGGACTGGAATCCTCTATTAATGGAGTATATAGTTTCAAAACCACCTCTCTCTGCTTTTAAAGATGCTCTCAAACTCTTCCTTCAAATGTGAACTAATAATGTTTTTTTTTGTTTATCAATATTTGTACTGCTCTCGTTTTCTTTTCTTGCTATGTTGTTCTCCTCTTCCCATTTGTTTGTATCTTCTCTCCTTCCTCTATGGACATGTCGACAAAATTATCTGCCTAGATTCGTAACCAAACACAGTTTTTTTTTGTTGCAAACTTGCAACTAGCACTAGCAATGTTTTTTTCATGTATCCATGGCTTTGCCAGAATAAACTGAACTGAACTGAACTAATGATAATTAACGATAAAGAAAATAAAAACATAGATGGATTCAATACATCAAATAATTTAAAATTACAAATATTAAAACAGGTATAGGACACGTCATCTTCAGAAGATTTTAGTTTTTGTTGCTGTTTTTTATGTAATGAAGTTAGAGATAAATTATAGAATTTTATATTGATCTCTATTAATTCCTTCTCTGTTCTTATTTTTGATGATGCTACATACTGTCATTAAGTATATAATTGATACAAAACGTTTGCCTATAAAGGATGCCCCAGAAGTCCTGACCCGATTTGAATAATAAATTTTTCTATAGTGAAACAAGTGGTTGTAAATTTGTCTCTATGAAGAAACGATGCAGTAAAAAATGCTCTACAAGATGACTATTGATTGACCCCGTTAGCTCATCTGGTAAGAAAGTTATAGGCTTAGAAATGTGCTTCACACAAAAGAAAAATCAACCGTGAACCGGGTCCATATGGTGGTACTTTCAGTAAAAGTCCCATAACTTCATCAAAACAAAACGTTTTTCGATCGGGTTTGTTTTGCTTTGATCAGAAATGATTGCTCTTCTCTACCTAGTTCAAAACTTCGATCACGTTTTCCGTTTCTTGCAGGGTACACTGTTGGAAACGGGGTTGTCGATTTTTGACATATTTTTGAAACGATTCTCGAGCACACCATCTGCTCTAAAAGGTCTTTGTACAAACCACAAGAAAGAGGACATTTGAAAGTACTCAACACAAATTGTGTTGTCGCTTTTGCTCCGCTTTTTTTACGGAAATAATAGAAGAAGAAGGTTAAGTAAAACAAACCAAATTTACAAAGTTTTTATTTTTTCACCTCGTGTATAATTTGCTTAGTTTTCTTGATTGAAGTTCTGAAGTTTAGGTACGGATTTTGTAGAGAATTTCACGACGCTTCTGTTAAAAAAAGAACTTATTCTAGGGGATCTAAGGAACAGGAGTTAAAGCAAAAATACCGAGACCGGATTCACGGTTGATTTTTCTTTTTTGTGAAGCACATTTCTAAGCCTATAACGTTCTTACTAGATGAGCTAACGGGGTCAATCAATAGTCATCTTGTAAAGCGTTTTTTACTACATCGTTTCTTCGACAAATTTACAATCACTTGTTTCGCTATAGAAAAATTTATTATTCAAATCGGGTCAGGACTTCTGGGCCACCCTTTATTATTAAACATTGTAAACAGCAGTTATAGGTATTCTGTGTAATTGACATTGAGCTTCTTGTTAAACGTACTTAATGATTCTTTTTTGTTTTTTTTAGCTTATATATACACACACACACAACATTCTTCCTTCTTTTTATTAATTCTACTTTTAACATTCTTGTTGATATAAATTTTTAATTTGTTTTAACTAGACGCACTAATCTGCCTACAGCCGATAGAATGGACTTCCAGTTCGGAGTAGGTGGATTAGTTTCCCTTCTTAGATTGCAATAAAGCTTAAACTAAACTAACTATTTTTAATATACGTGGCCTGAGTGTTAATCTCTGTTTTCTGCAACATTGTATTCACAACGAAAAACCTGATGTGTTTGTTTTTACGGAAACAAAAATGTGGAGGGCAAAGAGCAAAAATAATTCTGTCAGAATTTCAGGAATATCATTGCTACTGCACTCTACCTTAACCAACAAATTTCAGTGTATTTCTGGGGATACGAGAAGAAATCATTTATGAGCCCACCATTTTGTCTGTACATTTTCAAAAACCTAAATTTTATTGGTATATGGTTACATACACCATAGGACATTCCGTATCGGCGGCATCTACTGTCCTCCACTATTGACATTTCCAGTTGATTTTCTTGATCACGTGTACGTTTCTTTTCTAAAATTTTTGATTGGCGGTGATTACAATGCAGCTTCTTCCCAGTGGTACTCATCTTACTCAAACAATTTTGAAGAATTAAAAGCATGGTTAGAAAACAATGGTGTTCAAATGTTATGCATAA